AAAGGAGAATGAAGAACACCAAAGACACAAGGAAAGTAGTAGCCCAAGAGACAGAAAGGGCCACATAAACCAGAGACTTCATCAGCCTGAGATCAGAAGAACTAGATGGTGCCTGGCTACCACCAATGACCACCCTGACAGGGAACACAACAGAGAGTCCCAAATGGAGCAGGAGAAAGGTGGGGTGCAGAACTCAAATTCTAGTAAGAAGACCAGACTTAATGGTCTGAATGAGACTGGAGGAACCCCAGAAAGCATGGCCCCTGGAGTCTCTATGAGCCCAGAACTAAAACAGTTTCTGAGGCCAACTCTTTAGACAGGGATTGGACTGGACTGTGGGACATAAAGTGATACTTGTGAGGAGTGTGCCTCTTAGCTCAAGTAGATACAAGAGACTAAATGGACAGCTTCTGTCCGGAGGTGAGATGGGAAGGCAGAGAGGGTTAGGAGCTGGTTGAATGGACATGGGGAATCAAGGGCGGAAAGGAGGAGTGTGCTGTCACAGTACGGGAAGAGCAATTAGAGTCACATAACAATGTATGTATAAATTTTTATATGGGAAAAAATTTAAAAAAAATTTTTTAAATCCATGTTTTATTGGTCAGTAAAAAAGTAAATTGCCAAATAATGTATACACTATTATTCTTTTTCTTAAAAAAAAAGTATCTATGTGGATATGTTTGTATAAGCAACAGAAAAGGTAACCAATGGAAAGGTAAAGAATATTCATTTTACTTTAGATACTTTTGTATTGTTTGAATTGTCAGAATGAGCACAATTAATTTTAGTATTCAAATGCATGAAATAAAAACCAAGCAAAACAAAGACAAGCAAAAAAAAAAATCTGCCATATATCATTCTAGATGGAGAATGGAAAGGGTATGTACAAAACAAACAAACAAACAAATTGATCAATTAAAAAAAAGAAGGCAAGAAAGACAGAAGTGTGTCAAGCCAATAAAGATTTTTCTTAGGTCACCCATAAAATAGCAAAGTTCAAAGTAATTTGGAGAAGAAAAACTAACCTGAAACATCTATATCAATCTATTTAGATACACACCAAACTATTATCTTTGGTTACCTCAGGATAGAATTTGCAGAGAGGAAGGAGAGATTAGTAACCTCTTTATTCACCGATGTAATGTTTGACTGTTACTAGCATGTGCTAATTTTATAATTTTTAAATAATAATATTTTTTAAATAAAATAAAACCAAGTTATTTCATATCTCACAATGAAATGTACTAGAGGAAGCAAGAAAGGCAACTTTTTGTTATGGTTAAAGTACAGGATTTAACTCAGGAATCAGAGTCCTGCATTAATAAATCCTGGCTGCATCACTTTACCAGCTATTTGACTTTGGGCAAGAAGTCTAAACCTAATTTACTCATCTGTAAAATAGGAACAATAATAGCATCTACCTCATAGGCTTGTTATATGGATTAAATAATGCAGATAAAGCACTTAACACAAGATCTGACATTAATTATATAGTGAATTAAAAAAAAAAAAAAAACCATTGCCACGGAGTCTATTCAGACTCATAGTGACCCTATAGGACACAGAACTGCCCCATAGGGTTTCCAAGGCTGTAATCTTTACAGAAGCAGACTGCCACATCTTTCTCACGCGGAGCGGCTAGCGGGTTGGAACCATGGACCTTTTGGTTAGCAGCCCAGAGCTTAACCACTGGGCCACCAGGGCTCCTATAGTGAATTTAGGGAGGGTAAAAGTTGAATTAGGAACGCTGGTAACTTTTCCAGCTTTTTTACTCCTTTGACACTCAGAAAGCAAGCTGTGTGAGTCAAACCCGGGTCAAAGGTGAGGTCAGCTGTAACTCAGCCGGTTTCATCTCTAGGACTAGGTGGAGGTCTAGGGTACTGACCTAAGCAACTTGAGAGATCAGACGCCTCGCCGCTGCTATTCCTTCCACATCAGCCCTTTTCTGAGTCTTTCTTAAAGGAAGCTACCCAGCCAGACGGATCAGAGGAATGGCCAAAGTTCCCCCCTACCCCACCCCGCAACCAGGAAAAGCTCTCCTGGGTAGGAAGTTTCAGAAACTGTCCAAATTAACGCCCTTCGTGCCTCCTCAACAGCTCCCTGCACCTCCAGAGCCCTTCTCAGCATTTCCCTTCTCTCACCAATGCCTTATTGGGCTCAGTTTCCCTCCACTATTCCAGTTGTGTTCTCTGCCTCAGTTTCCCGTCACTTCGGTTTTCTCTTTAATCTTGTTTCTCCTTCTCTACTTCAGACTCCCTTTCTCTCCCTTAATTCCTCGCCCTCTGGCCCAGATCCCCCAGTTACCTCAGCTTTCCACCTCCACCTCAGTGTAACCCTTCTGCCTCAGTGACCCCTCTTCAGCCTCTGGGACCGTTCCTCCGCCTCGGTTTCCCCGCCTCCACCTCAGCTGTCTCCCCTCAGCCTCAGATTTCGCATCCCCGGCCCAGACCCTCCTAGCCTGGCCCTACCCGGCTGCTCCAGGGCCAGCGCGCCCAGGCGACAGACGACCTCTTCGTCCAGATCCCATTGCTCCGCCATCCCGCCGCTCACCTGCCACCGCCCGCGCCAGGCCCCGCCCCTCGCCTCCAGGCCCCGCCCACAGCCCCCTCCCCTCCCCGCGCGCCGCCGCGCTCCCGGGGTCCGTTACTGCCCGGGTCGCGCGCCTGCCCGCTCGCCGCAGCAGCCGGGAATATGGTACGCAGCCCACCCTGGCGGGGCGCCAAACACTAAAGCAGCGAAGGAGGGGTGTCGTGACCCGGATTCAAGGCTACAGGGTTGGGGCCTGACTCTGATTTACTTGGAAGGGCGGCTCCAGCTTTGAAGGGCTTGGGGAACTGGCTCTGAGGAGTTGAAAGAGTGCGCCAACTTTGAAGGATGAGGCGCTCCTGCTCCAGCTTTGGGGGTGGGGTGTGTCGTCTTGAAGAGTGGAGGTATTCATATCCTAGCTCTTGGGGATGCTGTCTCTGGGGCAAGACTGGGGGTGGCCCCACATCTGAGGGGTTGGGAGTTCTAGCAGTTCTGGGGCATGTTCTAGCAGTTCCTTGCTCCAGCTGAGAAATGGAGTGCTCCAGCTCTGAAGGATGGGGCCTGGCTTTGGGGCATGATGGGGAGCTCCGGCTCTGAAAACTTGGGTAACTGGGTTCTGAGGAGTTGGGATCTTTGGATCATGAGGTAGTTCCAGCTCTAGGAATTTATTTGGAAGGATCTCCTTTGGAGGAGAAGAGTCAGTGTAGAAAAGAATGCTGCTTTGAGATGCCTACTTTAGGGCTACCCCATCTCCTGCAGACAGTCTAGCAAGAAGCCCTTTGTCCTTCAAGTACCACAGTGCCCACCCCCAAGCTTGCTTGTGACTGAGGGCTTTCGCCAGGCTGGGATAGCTCTGAGCTGATCAGCACCTAAGAACAGCCACATCCTTAACCCCAACCTGTGCATGAGACATGAAAAAGGCAAAGTCTTGAGCTAAGATTCTGTTGTCATACCTGTGCCTAATAAGAAAGGAGGAACTAAGACTCGGCTGTGGCTCACCTTCATTGAGGGAGCAGGTTTCCTCTGGCATCCAAAATCTGCACACTGTGTGCCCTTCCACTAAGCTCTCAGCCAGCTAGTCATCTTTAAGGAGAACTACTGGCTCTCTTGGTTCTCCAGGGACAGAAGCAAATCAAGCATCCTTGCATATTTATGCATTCCTGCCTAGGCAGAGCCCTTAGTTACTCTCAGCTTGTCAGGTTCAGCCTTAGTCACCTTTAGAGGGACAAGGACTCAAAGAAAAGCCTGGATCAGCTCATTAGATTGGCTTTCCAGCTCTGCTTCTGTGATTCATGACACCATTTTACAACTTGTAGTCTTTCTTTTCATGCCCCCTTTAGCCTTTCTATGAGTCGGAATCAACTCGACAGCAATGGGTTTGGTTTTGCTTTTTTTTTTTTTTTGTAGCCTTTGTAGCCTCAAGTGTGGCATATATAACTGCTGCTCTTTTTATGCAAATATTTAGACCAGGCTTACTATAAAAGAAAGGGGTCCACCCACTTCTTTGTTGCATACTTTTTTTTCTTCCTCAGCCTTCAAAAAAGTGTTGCAGGCTTGTGCTGAAGAAGTTGACTTTTCCACTCTTCAGCAACCACTTCTTTAACAATGCCCACCACCAACATTTTATGCAAATCTTTAAACATTCAGAAAGGTTGAAAGAATTGTACAGTGAACACCCATACACCTACCACTTTGTTGTTTATTGTTAAGTTCCATCAAGTTGTTTTTTGACTCATAGCGACTCCATGTGACAGAGTAGAACTGTCCCATAGGGTTTTCTAGGCTGTAATTTTTACAGGAGCAGATCTCCAGGTCTTTCTCTTGCAGAGCTGCTGGGTAGGTTTGAACTACCAACCTTGCTGAACTCATTTATTAGCTCTAATAGTTTTTCAGTGGGTTCTTTAGGATTTTCTATATATAAGATCATGTCATCTGCAATAGAGATAGTCTTACTTCTTTTCCAGTCTAGATGCCTTTATTTCCTTTTTCTTGAATAATACCCTTTTCTCCCTTTAGGAGGAGCCTGGCATGCCTCATGAATCAGCAGAGGATTTATTTCATTTCAACGTTGGGGGCTGGCATTTCTCAGTTCCCAGAAGCAAACTCGCTCAATTCCCTGACTCCCTGCTGTGGAAAGAGGCTTTGGCCTTGACCTCTTCTGAAAGTCAGCGGCTATTCATCGACAGAGATGGGTCCACGTTTAGGCACGTGCACTATTACCTCTACACCTCCAAACTCTCCTTTTCCAGTTGTGCAGAACTGAACCTGCTCTATGAGCAAGCACTGGGTTTGCAGCTGATGCCTTTGCTGCAGGTAAGATGTTCTTGTCTTCCTGGTGATCAGTAGCAGGCCTTACATCACTAAGTATATTGTCTTCTTTTATATATTGGTCACTGGAATGGCCCTTTTAATGGGCAGGTGTGATAAATGAGTTAAAGTAGTAAACAATACACTGGAATTACATGTTCTTAATAAAGGATTTCATCCTAACTCTGCCTTATCTATAACAGCAGCCATATGGACCCAGGATGGGACTTACCATTTACTAAGAGGGTACTGTTGGCTCTTGGAAATCCTACTTTAAGCTTCTTCCTATTTTTGTTATTGAATTTTAAAAGGAGAAAACCTTAGAAATTGTACATCATGTCTAAGATTTAAGATAAAAGATTCATCAAGAATATTACTTCTCAAAAAAAAAAAGAACATTACTTCTCCCTGTGTGTTAGTTACACAAAATTCACTTAGAGTAAAGCAAAAAGTTCTCCAAACTGCAGAATCTTTCCTTTATCTTCACTTATCTGTTTTCTCAGTGTAAGTAAAAACTTGAAATACCTTTTCTTATAGAACATTAAAGTACCACCAAAAAAATCACCTTCTTTCCTAATTTTTCTCCTAACCACAGAAATCATTTCTGAGGTTGACCTTAAATAGTTTATTCTGTAGTTTTTGAAAAATTCTTTTTTAATGCAGAGAAACTAAATATTATGACTGGGAAGGATCATTGACCATGCTCCATAATCCCACTGTTTGGACAAGGTGTTGTTTTCTCCATCTCCACAAGCATTAACCCAGCAAGCTGCAGTGCAACTCGGGACCACCAACTGTGCCTCCCCAATACCTCTTAGAAGAAGTCTGAGGTAGATCATGCATATCTGGGTGATAGAAGAATGAGAAAATTTCGTAGTGCCTGTTTTTATGGATACTCCTTATTAAATAATTCAGCATTTTCTCTTAAAAGTTATATATTTGGGAATCAAAAATCCTTAACATACTCCAGTGCAAGTTGTCACCTTATTCTTTTTATTTTCTTCAAGTTACCCACCTTGAGTTTAAATTATTTTCAACTACCCCAAAAATGGAGTACTAGGATTGCTTACAAGTGCCTTCAAAACCACTTAAATGGCCTGGCATGTCAAGATTGCTGATGACTGTATGCCAAGGCACCATTGTGTGGGAGAAGGGAGGGATAACATGCTCATTGCAGAAATTCAAAAAGATCAGGGCACCAAATACTAACAACATTCTTCAAAGAGATGGAAAAACTAATCATTAACTTTATATGGAAAGGGAAGAAGCCCCGAATAAGTAAAGCACTACCGAA